AACTACATAATTCCAACATGCAAAGCCATCATTTTCCTTAGCTGTATTTTATTTATGTTGATGATGTCATTGTATCCTTTCTGAACTGGTCTGTAAACAAACAGCCTGAGGTCTAGAACTTGTCTCTTTTCTTACATGGCTTGTTATTGTCCCTCCCACGTGTTTTAGGCATGCCTCAATCTTTAAAGCACGAGAAATTCCTTGAGAGGAGGGACAGTGTTTTCTACTTCCATATCCTAGGCCAACGACTCTAAACAGACTGACCAGACACAGAGGCAATCCGTAGAATAGGGGGCAACAAACATTTTCTGTAAAAGGCCGATTAGTAAATAGTTTAGGCTTTGCTGGCCACATCATCTCTGCTGCAACCATTCAACTCTGCCTCTGTGGTGCGAAGGCAGTCACAGACAATACTCAGTGATGGGTGTGGCTCTGTGCCAATAAAACTTAATTTACAAAAACAGGCGGTGGCTGATTTGGCCCACAGGCCAGAGTTTCCAGTCCCTGCCCTGGAGGCCCAGGTCAGAAGGAAGCAAGTGTGCTGGAAAGAACGCTGGAGAGAAGCTTGAGGCTGGACTCTTGATGTGTCTGATTCTTGGTTCTGTAAAAGACCCTAGTAGTTTTGAAATCATCGAGTTCTAAGAATAAATTTCAATATATACTGAAAACATGACTCATGGAATCACCAGAGCTACACCTCATCAACTTGTGGTGTTCACTGCCAATACACTCTTTGCCTATAAAACACATCGGTGAGACACAGGCCAGTAAAACTTTTGTGGGCTGAGAAAAATGTTAGCAGGATGACAGATGCTGTACCCCACCTCCCCAGCCCCAAGCAATTCCTTCCTGAGTATAATAATTAGAAAATAAGGACAGAAAGAAGAAACTTTCTCCTTGTTACATACACCATGGCTATTCAATTAAAAAAAAAAAAAAAAAAGAGCCCAGGATCTTGTCTCACTCTGGCCTGTGTTAAACTCTCCTCCAGAAACACCAGCCATTCTAACTTGTTAAACTCAGTTACCAGTCTTTCTCATCCTTTGAAAAATAAGCGACATCTTTAAAAATAAGCTATGTTATATTTAAATAGGTCTAATTTATGGTTTGTATTTAAGTTGTCAACTACCTACTGAATTTCCTTTATTGATTATTTTAGCTTTGCTACAAGGTAAATGCCTAAGTAAACTATCATAACTTTGCACGTAACCTCTTAATTGTATGATGTGTCCCAATTTCTGAGATATTAAAAAGTGAAAAAATAAAGGACCAGTGAAATATGATGGATTTTCAATAGACCTGGATTCTTGGATTTATATTTCTACTGAAATAGAAAAAATATACTGGGCTTCATTTATTTTGGAGTTTTCTCCATCTGGAATGACATTTTCCCCGTAATCTCCACGTGTCTATATTCTAAACATTTACCTAAACCCAGCTTTAAGCCAGCCCCTCCTTGAACCCTTCCCTGAACTGCCTACTCCAACCTCCTATAGGAATCTTTCTAATACACCACATACTGCACTTAGCTGTTTCGCTCTTCTCATGATAAAAACTGTGTCTACATCTCTTTGAACACTCCACCCCCATGAATGCAGTACAGTGCCTTAAATGCAGAAGGTATCCACATGCATAAATCCTAGTGGTACCTGAGCAAATTACATCTGAATGGGTAAGAATTTGGCTTTACATTTTGATCCACATTCCTAAGTAGTGTTTCCATCCATACCCTCCAGCCTCGGTATTCATCAGTGCGACATTCAGCAGCACCTTCATTTCACCTTCATTTCTTTCTATGGTGTGCTCATTCAAAAAGCTTTGGGAACTAAGTTCTCTCATCTAACAGCTGCTTTATAGAGATTTGAAGGATTATTATGGCTGTTCAGTAATGACAGAACTTTACACGGTACATAGAAATCACCCAATGAATTCAACCTTCAATAAACAGAATTGATTTTACAAGGATCTGAGTCATCTAAAAAGATGCCAGAAGGGCTGGGTTGGAGAGACAGAGATACCCCCCAGTGAAACGAAGAAGACTAGAATTGTGATGAGTTCTCCTCAGAGAGCTGTAGAATCAAGACTAAATGTTAGATCGTAGACTTTTGGAGCTAGAGTTTGATTGTAGATTTTCCAACCTTCTCACTTCACCCCTGAGAAAAACAGTGCCTTTCAGTTAAATTAGCTAATCCTGGACTTGGTTGTATCAGTTAATATATACATCTGGAGATGTTTAAACTTTTGAATATGCCATTAGAACATTAATAATGAATAATTTTAGGAGATATGATCATATTGTAGGAGTTAACGCATCTCCCCAAAGGATCTGGGCCCTAGGGTATTTTACATGAATATTCTGACTTCTCAGAGTCATAAAGTGAAACACAAATTCCCTTTTTTTTTTTTTTTAGGCGAGGCAACCCTTTGGTTGACCTCACAGATTGCAAGGACCTTGTCAGTTTACAATCAATCCCTTATTTTTTTATTTTTTATGCCTATAGCACCCGGTCTTCCTAGGCGGTCTCCCATCCAAGTACTAACCAGGCCCGACCCTGCTTAGCTTCCAAGATCAGATGGGATTGGGCTTGTTCAGGGTAGCATGGCTATAGACCAGATTCCCTTTTTTTGCATGTCTTCTTGAGAGAGGGGGACATCCATAGGCACCAAGGTTCAACACTTGGTTGGTATAATACTCCATGCAGTGTCTTATTGATGAAATTACAGCCATCATCCAACAGTTCTGATATTTAGGAATAAGTTAAAAAAAACCAATAACACAATTTTTAAGAGTCTAATATTTAAAAATTTATAAACCTACTAAACAAGGGGAAAATAACTCCATATGTCTAAAAAATTTAACTTTCTTGGTGTACGAGCTTATCTTAGATTCCTCAGAAGCCTGTGGTGAAGACAGCCTCATGCAGGAGGTGGACACAACAGATCTCGATGAGGAAGGCAGACCCCGCTGAGGGCAGCACTACAGACAGCAGCCCATGGGGCAGCCAGGACTGGCCTGCAGTCACCCAGCCCCTACTTGACTTTTGCCTCTCTGTGGCTCAATTTCCTCTGGGGTTTCACCTGTCCAAATGACCTTCCCATATAAAATAAATATAGCAGTAATAAGCGACCTCAAAAAGCTGTAATGAGAATTATATACAGGTAGTTAAGTATCTGCAAAATGTCCAGTATTATTGTACAGACAAGGCAAGAAGTGTCTATATAGACATGAAAGGTCTTGCCAAAAAGCACAGGATGGACAATTTGTATTATTCACAGAAATATACTGATCCATCCTCTTTCTCCAACTATCTGGGGGAAATTCACATGTTTTGCCTAAGTTCTGCTTCTTTATCCCATTCTTTCTTTTTGCAGTTTCTTTTTCTCTTTTTATTATTAAAAAATACACATATATACATATTAAAAATACATACCTACATATATATATACACACACACACATATATATAAATTTTATATGTATATATGGTAGAGAGGCCAGTAATTTGGACCCCTGGGCATCCATCACCCAGCCATACGGCCAGCAGCTCATAGCTAACCTTATCTCATGTATACCCCCATCCATTCTTTATGTCCAAGCCTGTGGGATCATTTTGAACCAAACCCCAGACATAGGTCATTTCATTTTTCATAGTTTTTAAAGCACATAAATCATATATTTCTTTGCCATTTTGTTTTCTTGATTTGACATCCTGATGTAAATTATTTATAACCATAAAACGAAGGCAACATTGGAGGTGTACTTGGGGCCAGAGAAAAAAAATTGCAAACCAATGATTTAAAGAAAAACAGGACAATGAGTCAAGGCAGAGATAAACAGCCTGTAGGACAGGGTCAGTGAGAAGGACGGGGTCAGCGAGAGCTCTGTGCTGGGGCATTAGCTCATGAAAAAAGGGACATTTCTCACCTTTTCCTGAAAGGGTCTGACCTCTCCTGCCTCCATGCATCCTTCCCACTATTGAACACATGATCACCTTCGGCATCAAGCTACCTCCCTACAAAGCCTTCCTCAGTTCCTCCAGTGAAAATGCACCTCCTCTCTGCTTTGCTTCCACAGTACTTAATTATCCTAGCGCACAGTAAGAGAGTAATAAATAAGTGAATAATTGCTTGTGCATTGAATGAACGGGACATAAGACTTTCATTTCAACTTATATTTTAGTTAGTGGGTCTCTCCCAGTAAATCTGAAATTCCTTAAGGAAATAATTGTGTTAAATCAGCTCTGTGTCCTCTCCACTTCCTAATGTGTTTATGGTGCTCAACGAACGTCTCATGTATGGAGCGATGCTCTAGGAGAAGAGCTAATCCTGCCAGGTGGTTAGAGGATTAAGCTTCTGGAGAATGACTTCATATAAATTATGGGAAGACTAACAAAAATACAGTGTGTAGATTTCCACTGGTTTCTTGTCTTGGGGAAGCAAATTTGGGCTTGTCATCATAAAAGTAAAAGAATTTGGGAGCGGTTTCCTCTGTCCAAACGACCCAGCAACACCTGCCTCCAACATCATAATCCTGTTTTCCTCTCCTACCCTCCTCCCAAGGTGAAGGCTGCATTGAGTTACTGCCCATAGGATGGAATTACAGGCCTGAATCTGAGACAAAGGTTCTTTATGCTGTGTCTGCTTATTAATTAGCGACTGGAAACTTCAGGACAGGGCCATTAACATTCTCATAAACCTTTTATTTTAAATGTTTTCGCTTAGCCATGATTCTGATGTGACTCTCCTCATAAGCTGGACGTAGGACATTTGTTTCTTAACATTTCTGAGGCTCATTAGCTACTGCATCCCAGCGGCTCATTAACTAATCCATTAGGGATTTCGCCTCATCCAGGCAGAAGCCTCCACTTGCCCTCACGGAGCCTCTGAGAGCACTTAATTGGGAATGGTGTGAGGCTAGCTGCAAGGCTCGCAGGAGAGAGCTGGGGCTTTGCCAGGTCTCCCTCGAGGATGGAGTGGCGGCGAAGGGGAGCACCCACTCACCTGCTATCCTCCCAATGGGCATGGCGTGCTCCTCAGGCGGGGAGACGGAGACCATGATGTGGTTCATGTACGCCAGGTCTTCTCGATGGGAAAGGTTGATGGGCTTCCCTTCCCTATGCAGCCCGTCCTCGGAGAGCCTGGACTGTTTGAAATCCACGGAGTGCCGGGGGTTCAGGATCAAAGGGTGCATGATGGGGCTGGGCATCAGCTGGATCACGCGTGTGCTCTCCTGCCGGGGGCTGGATGGCTTCTGGTGGGGCTCAGAGGACGGTGGGCGGTGGTTATTCTCCATGGGAGACACTGACAGGGGGTAGGGCTCCTGGTGGTTGTTCTCCTGGTGGAGCCTCGGTCCCTGGCCCCTCTCAGCTGGGGAGAGGCGGCGGATCATGTTGTCCAGGGGGGACCGGAGGGGCCGCTGCTCGGGGTCAGGGGATGGCCGGTGGTTTGTCGTGATGGGTGACCTGGAGCGGTGCAACAGTTCGATGGTGGGAGGGTTCTGGTGCACATTCTCCACCGACGGCCTTGGGGTCCTCTGGACACAATTATCTGTGGAGCAGAGGGGAAGACAATCACAGACCCCAGTGAACTGTCGGGAGAGGGCCCTCCTGCGATTCTAGAGTTGTGAGCAGTACAGCACATGCAGTGTGGCACCTTCCTGCCCAGGATGCAGAGTGTCATTCTCACTGCTAAAACACACTTGTAGTGCACATACTGATAATTCTTTTCCTACCAGTAGACAAGCTAAGAATGTCTACAAACATTCCATTAAATATAAGGAAATCGAACTTTTATTCTTTATCTTTTTGTTACTTGACTTTTCGATGTGGTTTTTGGGAATCTTAAGGGTTTCCCTCTAGATGCTTCCACTGACTTACATTTTCATAACCAAAATTTCATATTCTCTACCTCCACGAATTGTTGGTATTAATGATAATGATAGTGATAATAATAAAGCAATTACTGTATCCTAGGTACTGGATCATATTGTTTAAAATTTACAACACTCCTAAGTAGGAGATACTGACTACATTATTTATATTTTACAGGTGAGAAATGGAGGCATAAAGAAGTTAAGCAACTTACCCAAGGTCACGCAGCCAGTTAGGAAGTTAGAACCGACTCCAATCAGATTCTTGAACCTATGTACCCATTACAATAGCTATCACTTTGCTGTTTAGAAACTGGGGGGAAAGTCATATCAAAACACGCTCTAAGCATGAGCAGCGGGCCTAATGTACAGAATTACAGTCTTGTTATACTTGAAAGATTACTTAGAACACATGTTTCTGAGTGCACAGACCCTACCTACAAGTGCTCAGAGACAGGTAAAGTAAGAAGAAGGAGGGAAGGCCACCCCTGACATACCCCATTCCACCCGAATTTTCAAGCTGGTGATGTTTGAGCATCAGACAACATCAGAAGTGTACACAGCTCAGCAACAGAGGTAGCTCTGTGGGCTGGGTTGCGGGCGGGTCCAGCACATGTGGCTTTAGGAGTCTCTGCTAAAGATAGGAAGGAGAGAAATCTACCTACGAAAATGGAGCTTTCTACAGGGCCTCACATTCATCTTAATGAGGTTCTTCTGGCCACATTTGATCCTAGAACTGTATTGCCAAAAGAACGGGGATGCTTGAAGGTCCCTGTTCTGGTCAAAGACTTTTCCATGGTTCTAAGTAAAGCAAGTTAAAGATATCTCCTCTGTCCATTATGATAATATCTACATGAAGACCATATAAAAGGGATCTGGGAATCTGACCGGGTTAGTAAGCAGAAACAGAAGTGGTGGTTTCTTAGAAAGTTTTACACAGGGTTCAGAGGAAACTGGGGACTCCATTAGATTTCACCTATCGCATGAGACAGTGAACAAAATAAATATTATTCATGATCTTTAAAAGGTCATCTGCCTGAAGGCAAAAGGTTAATTTTGTAACTACTGTATAACCTGCTGCCATGAATTTAAAAGTGTTTACTGGAATTAGCTATTACTAGTTATAGTTAGCTATTACTGGAATAGCTACCGGTGGGAGACTAATGTAATTGGAGTCTAAGAAGGAGAGAACAGAAAAAATGAGGCAAAAAAAAAATTGAAGAAGTAATGGCCAAATTGTCCCCAAATTTGGTAACGACAAAAACAGCAAAACAAAACTTAAAGATCCAAGAAGCTCAGTAAATCTCAAGCAAGATAAATATAATAAAAGCTACACCAAGGCACATCATAGTCAAACTTTTGAAAACCAAAGATAAAGAGAAAAATCGTGAAAGTAACCAGAGGAAAAAGAGACATACTACATACAGGGGAAAATTTATGCTGCTCATGGCTAACTTCTTTTTTAAACACCCAGAAGAGAGGGACAGTGCACAAGCGTGTGCACGAGAGAGAAATAGATGGAGACTCACAGACTGAAAGAGATTTAAGAGACACAGCAACCAGGTGCAATGTATAGACCCTTGTTTGGATTCTGACTCATATAAACTGCAAAAACTTTTATGAGATAGTTGGGAAAATGTGAACATTAATAGGATATTTGATGATATTGAGGAACTATTAGTTTTCAGGTGATATGATAGCTTCGTGATTATGATTTTATATAAAGGGTCCTTCCTTGTCTTCTCGGATCTGCACTGATATATTTACAGATGAAATTATATATCTGAGATTTGCTTTACAATAATCTGGGATGGTGAAGCAGAGAGTAGGTGGGACATAAAGGAAACAGGATTGGCCACAACTGATCATGAAGCTGGTGATGGGATTTTTTTTAGTGTTTAATCTACCTTGCAAGAATACAGGTTGGGATGACAAGTACTAACTTCCTTACTTGAACCCAAATGCAAATAAAAGCTTACGGGGATTAGACCCATGGAGTTAACTTTAGTGGCTGAGATTTTTAGTATGATAGAAATGATCTATAATCTTTTAGAGATGAGAAAAGTTTTCTTTCCATGGCTAATATGAATCTCATTTCTGCTGTCCACAAAAATGAATTTACCTTTCGTCCATGGTTCACTTTTCACTTGTCACAGAATATGACCATCGAGCAACTTTGGAAGACATATACATTTTAAAGTTTCATTTATTTTCTTCTAAATGCCATGGACAGAATGCCTCCCTTTCTTTAAAAGCTTATTAAGGTTTAAAAATACTTAAGAATGATGAAAACCATGTATTGAAATATTCTATTTCCTGAATCCATTTCCCGTCTTACAAATTATAAAATGGACACAGGCGTTAGCCAGTTGTCTGGTTACCTGCAGGCCATCTTTGATGTCCTGTGCTTCAAGGCTCAGCATAAGACTGTGCTCTCGGGGCAGGCCTTAGGAAGTCTGGGAGGACTACGAGAGGAAGAACTTTCATGCCAAGGGTAAAAGAGGAACTGATGTAATGTCCTGGAAAGATTTCACTCTCTGTTCCTGCCCAGAACTTCGGGAACAATGAAGGAGGGAGACAGTGCTCTGGATAATCAACTCAGATTTTACTTTTGACTCAAGATCCGGGCAGGGACAAGACTTGGAGGAACTTGATTTATTTCTTTCTCTGCAGACACTACTCAAAGAGGAAGTATTCGATGAAGTTGATAACATTAATGGTAGAGAACTGGATCCGCAGGTATTTAATTCCAGGCTTCTGGTGGTCTGGGCACAACCGCTGTTAAGGCCGAAAGGCAATGAGACCTTCCAAGCTTTTGTTTCGGTTTGCAAAGCACGCGCCCACAGATGGAGAGGGCTATGACGTTGCTACCCTGCTGCCTCCTGTCTCTGTTATTATAAGTTGGCAGCAGGGTACGGAAACTTACAAGACCAGAGCCGGCAGGCAGAGACGCTCCGGACACAGGAAATGCACTGAGCGGACAGTGGGTGCATTAAATCCCCCAGATGTAGGAGTCTTCTGTCTAAAACAAGAAGATTTTTTTGGTTTGGCCTTGATGTCTGGGTTTGCTCTTGGTGAATTGCCCAGTTGGAAAACTGGGAAATTATCCACATTGCCCTCGGACTGAAGGTCTTGATAGGGGAGGGTAACGCACAAGAAGAGGCAGGGAAAGCCACAGATAATTAGTGTGGGCATGGCAAGAAGCGGGCAAGGGGGGAAAGGACCAAGGACTGGTAGGGAACTTATTCTGGTTGAAAGTATTTCCTGATCCCAAACCTTTCTCTTTGTAGACCTCTTTTAGACATAAATAACCCCTTCTCACTACCAAATGGCCCAAAATAAATTCGGACTTTAAATGTGATGATTATAAAAAAAGATCTGATTTCTTTTCTTGTCCTCTTTCTTTTTATTAGAAAAGTTTCTCTACTTAAAAGTCACCAAAGTTCAACCCAATTTAATCATTTTAATCATGTTATAAATAATTAAGGACTAGTAAACCTAAAAAAAAAAAAAAAAAAATCAACCAAAGAAACTGCCTTTGATTAAAATCATGGGTTTTGACTAGAAAATTTCTAGGGTAGAACAAAGGCTAAGATCAAGCTTATATCTCACACACCAGGATCACAGTTTCACCATTGCACTTTCCCTAAGGTCTGGGATAATGATAAGAGAAGAAGTCAGCCAAAGAGATGCAAATCAAGAGGCCCAGTAGCTAAGCCTCACTCAGGCGCAGTCCACGTACTCCACGTTCTTCCGGAAGGGACCATTTTCCAGCACAATTTTGTAAAAGATTAATGGGTACCATGAATGATATAAAGAGCTATACAGAGATTAAAGGCTCTAGGTTTTGAGGTGGAATTCAAAACAGATTTCATATACACACAAATTTCATATACAAAACAGATTTCATATACACACTTAGGTTCTATCACCTCTTGTGATGAGTTAAATTGTGCTCCCCCTACCTCAACTCAAAAAAAAATTCACATGTTGAAGCTCCAACCCCCAGTATCTCAGAATGGAACCTCATTTGGAAATAGGGTCATTATAGACGTAATTAGTTAAGATAAGGTCATATTGGAGTAGGGTGGGCCTCTGATCTAATGTGACTGGTGTCTTTACAAAAGGGGGACTTTGGACACATAGGCTTACCTACTGCATGACTGAAAGGGGAATGTTTTTCACCACAGTGATTACAAAATATGAGCTGAATCACAGAACCTTGAGTGATGCTAACAGTATTTCAAGTAGTGTCTCAGATACAAAATATGCAAAGAGTAGGAAAATGTGGTCCTTGCTCTCAAGGATATCCTAGTTTAATGGAGAAAGCAGACATATTAAACACACACACACACACACACACACACACACACACATACACACACACCCACACACACCCCAAAAGGCTATAGGTACGGAAGTAAGAGTCAATGCACACGGGGAGTGGCCCATGGGAAGATGAAAGCAAGGAGCACCAAAGACTGCCAGCAAATGACCAGGATCTAGGAATGGGGCAGAGAACACATTATCCCTCACAGTGCTCAGAAGGAACTGATCCTGCCCATGCCTTGAATTTGGACTTCCAGCCTCCAGTACTGTGAGATAATACATTTCTGTTGTTTAAGCCAACTATTTGTGATACTTTGTTATGGCAGCTCTAGCAGACTAACACCCGCTC